AAACAACTTGCACAATCGAATGGAAAATCTACACTCTTATGATAGATAATGGGAGTTCTGGAAATTTTGTTTCTCAAAAACTGGTTGACAAGCTTAAAATAATGTCAACACCACTTGCCAAATCCTATAAAATCTCTTGGTTCAAAGAAGGGGAGAGGTTCCAATCACTAAGCAATGTACTGTCAATCTATCAATTGGGGGATCTTTCAAAGATCAAGTTGTTTGTGATGTTGTGCCTCTTTAAGTGTGCCATATTTTGTTAGGACAACCTTGACAATAGACCACAAAACTATTCACAATGGAGAGAAAAATACTTACACCTTGATTCAAAATAATAAAGAGTTCACTCTTCATCTAGAAAAACATGTACCTGATTCACCTGTTATGAATAACATGGTTGCCAAAATTAAGTCTCCTGAACTGCTTTTAAATGCTAATGATTTGAAACATTATGAAGTCGCTTATTTGGTTTTGGGAAAAGAATCTGATACTGTTTTTCAAATTCCTAAAGAAATGCAAGCTTTAATTGATGAGTTTTCTGAATTAACTCCTGATGAGTTGCCAATTGGGATGCCTCCTATGCGAAATATTCAATATCATATTGATCTTATTCCTGGAGCCACTTTGCCTAACCTTCCTCATTATAGAATGAGTCCATCTGAGCATGCTGAACTTTTTAAGCAAGTGAATGATTTGTGAAAAAAAGGTTTGATTCAAGAAAGCTTAAGTCCCTGTGCTGTGTCATCTTTATTAACACCAATGTGGGCTCCGAAAATTCGGCCTCGGCCTCCGCTCGCTTTTGTTTTTATTCGGCGAGGGAGTTTTAACTGAATAAGTTCCGAGGTAAATTTTGGAAGGCAGATGGTTTGTAGATAAGACACTTCCCAGAGATTTCGCCCTCATTTTGTGAGGACTTTATAATATGAGTTCTGATTTTCTATAGGCGCAAGCCCCTATAGTTAATTACCCATCCCGATAACGAGAGAGAACTTTCAGTTAAGGCTAGTCATCAATTATATACGTAGAGATATACGTGTTGTCTGGCATATAGTAGCAGCAATAGGTTTGGGAATTTGAAAATGTTGGATTGTTTAGAAATGGTTGAGAGTTTGGAGATTTGATATTTAAAATTTGAAATTGCACCATCTTGCACTTAAGGCGGATGGTGGGGGAATGGATGATAGAACCGATCAAGATCCCATGGTTCATTCGTCCTGGACCATCGTGGTCCCTGGTCAACTTAGTCAGAGGAGGTAGCCGACCCAACCTGACAGAAGGATCCTTGTCGGCAGCATGGGTTGCTTTGTCCAAGGGGGCCTTGTAGATCTGGGGTGAATATTTGTCTAAGGGGACAAATTTGAATCCACCTTGGCCAATAGAGGGCTTTGTGCCCTATCGATCATATCCTATTGATTCATATCTCAAGGATTTGATGCCGATAAGGAACGTATCGGCTCTGGCCATAACCGGTATTTTGTGGTGCCATTTGGCGGCAAAACCACTCGGTTCAGAGGGCCCTGGGTTATAACCGTTTACCTGCAGTGCCATTTGTCGGCAAAACTGTCGATTAGAGGACACGTACCACGCCCTTACTGGTAGGAGATTATTTGAGAATGGATCCTAGTGATATTTCCGACTAGGCATTTGACTCTTTGTGAGTTGAAGTAAATTTTAATTTGTCCACCTCGGCAAACTGTTGCGGTGGGCGGATGAATTTTGTGCTTTAAGTGGGTTGATGGATTTATTTCATTTTAAATATTTTTGGGATTTTGGGATTTTTGTGGAGTTTTGGATTATAGGCCTTAAAGGCCTAATATGAATGTATTTAAATAAATACACTGGTCGCCACAACCGTGTACTTGTTTGAAGGTTCGAACCCTGTCGACTTCTATTGATCCGTATAGGAAGATTGGGTTCGAACTAGAATTCACTTATTGACCCGCGCAGCATTCCTAGACGTCACGTGTGTACTAATAACATGCTCGCTGGGGCCCATGCAGGTTTTATAATTTCTTTTACCCCTTTTAGTGTACCTATGTGTATACAAACTGTAGTGCACGTGCGGGGGTATTTTGAAAGTACTTATAGACGCCTTCTGTCCGCTTGCATAGAAGTTGCGGATCCGGTGGCGTGGCATAGCGGCTTCTGAATAGAGTTGTTCGCTGCTTTGTACAGGTAGACTGTCGTGCACTACTTATTCCTTTTTGCAGGTGGATCGTAGTGCACTAACGAGTCTCCTGCTTTGGATTGTATGAGCTCGCACTTGTCGTATTCTTCATGCATTTTGTTGTGATTTTTTGTCTTTTCAGTACATCCGCTACTGCTGCATCTAGGTAGGTAGATGTATTCCTTCACAGATTGAAATTGACTTCAGGATACTGCATTTACTGAAGTCTTTCTGCATCTACCCCTGGGTGGCATGTTATACATACATCTGTATTCGTTGAGAGATTGTATTTATTGCAGATCTTCTGATGTTATAGAAGGGCCTTCACATTTATCACAATTCTTCTATATTTTGTACATGAAGGATCTTCTACAACGACTTGAAGGAGTTTCCATTTGCTGTACTTATTCATCCATATTTGTAGGCGGGATATTGAGTGTATAACAAACTTCATACAGTAATTCATAGGTACTTGCATTTATTGAATTCCACCTGCCTTTGCTTACATGATCAACATAAATTTGCACACCAACTATCATCATTGGTAGGAAATTTAACCGCCAGGGATTTTGTATAATTCGCTTGCAACCAAACTATACCTTCCTTCTGATTTTCTTTGCTTGTTGAGTTCAACGTATCTGTTTGTAATAGATTCATAGTTCTCATTTACATTTGAACTGCAAGGTATTACTACCTCCACTTTGGTGAGTCGTAATCTCTTGTAGGTGGTAGAAGCATTCGTTCTTCCCTTGATTTACATGGCTTTCATCACCACCTTGTGAACAATCTGTCGAATATACGAGTGTATGGCTATATTTGTATAGAACCTATCACTTCTACATCATTTCAATCGATGTTACTTATGAGTGGATTGCCAGTTCTATTTGTATTGACTTCAAGCATGCCATTATCGTTCATGAATGATCACAAGTATCCCATAGTTGTTCGTAAGGGATTTTCATTCTTCCTTCACTAACTAGTTGATGTTGACTGCTAGAATATTGTGATGATCATTTCCTTTGTGCTTGTAGGGAATGGGAATGTATGCTTGCCACGATATTAGCACAGGTGATATGAACAACCATTGTAGGCTTCTATGTTCACCATACTCATTATAGAGATATTGCTAGATCTCTAAAATTTGGTCCATGAGCATTTCAGTCCACTATCCACGGATGAATCATTTCATATATTTGAGAATCATGCATCATTCGCTTAAGCTTGATTTTGATCTTATACACAGATATGTTTCATTGAGGCTTAAGTTTGAGTTCAATGCGACAAGCTCAAGTTATAAGTCCCCCCTTGGTTCAAATCAAGCTCATAAGTTTCATGTGATCTTGTTCAATTCAAGTTCGTTTTGATCAAGCTTGAATTAAGCTTTGAATGAAGTCTTTTAAGTTCAAATCAAAGTTCTCTTGTTCAAGTGCAGCTCGGCTCAAGTCTTAAATAAGTCCTTTATATTCATCCAAGTCCCTTGTATCATTTTCAAGTCCAAACTTCTTGTTGTTAGATTTGAGTTCAAAGAGGAGCTTGAGTTCAAGTGGTCCTTGTAGTTGTCCCAAACTACAATCTCAAATTAAAGTTCTTTGTATTTGAATTCAATCAAGTTCTCATTCCTTACAACATCACTTGATTAAGTTTTGATTTTGTCTTAAATTATGCCCACTTTAAGTTCATTGATGTCCAAATACAAGTCCGAGTCCTCTGCTTCAGTCCAACTTCAAGTGTGAATCCAAGTTCATTTTTAGTTCAAGTCCTTGTCCTTTTGGATAAAATTTCGGCAGCCTTCCGGCGTCTCCCCTATTTAGGGGAAAAAAATCAAGAGGCCGCCTACCCGCCACGTCAACAAAGACGTGCACGGTTGGTGTTTGTGAGACACCGTGGCGGTATTTTTTTTTCTCCCACCACGCCAACAAAGGTGTGCATGGGGTTTTTAAAAAGCATTTTTGAAAAAAGCAGTTTAATTTCCCCCCGCTCGAGGGTACTTATGAGTGACCTCACTTCGCCGTAGGTGCCGCACCGAGGTCCCATCCCACCACGCGCACCAAAGGCGTGCTTGGGGCGGTTTTCCGGTTCGCCACGAACATTGAAGTAGAGTTTTGAGTTTAGTAGAATTCATACCTTTGTGGGGTTGTCGGTGTTGGCATGTGGATCGAGGGGTCACTCGCCTACCTCGTCGTAGGTGTCGCACCGGGGTCCCATCCCACCACGCGCACTAAAGGCGTGCTTGGGGCGGTTTTCCGGCCCGATACAAACATCGATGTAAGAGAGGGAGGGGAGCACTTGCATTTCAATTATAATTAATTATAACTTAATTATAATTAATTATAAAGTAATTATAATTAACCATACTTAATCATAGTTAATAACAATCAATTAAAATTAATTAATTGTAATTATAATAAATAATCAATTATAATTAATAATGATTATAATTGATTAAATAATTATAATTAATAATCAATCATTAATTATTAATTAATTAAGATTAATTTTTTAATTACAACTATAATTAATTAATAAGTAATTAAAATTAATTATAATCAAACAGATAATTATAATTAATCATTAATCATTAATTAATTATACTGAATTTATTAACTATAATTAATTATAGATTTTAATTATAATTTATTATAATATAATAATAGTAATAAAATAACAAAAATCCCTCTCGGGAGGCAGCGGCGGGCTGAGGGAGTAGCGACGGGAGCTTGATCGTGTGGAGTCAGAGAGCAGAGAAGCAATCTCCGAAGTCAAGGCTCCGCTTCGTTTTATAGACGTGATCGGAGTAGCGATCGAGGCGCTGTCGCAGGATTTTTGGGAGGCGATGGAAGCGGCGCCGAACAGGTACGCGATTCAGCGGGATTTGAGCCAGATTTCGGCAGAAACCATGGATCCGATGGGTTACAGCAGGTATGCATTCGTTTCATTCCCTTTTGGATATTATATGGAGGTTAACAACCAAAAAAAGATGGAACATGGAGGATGTGTGTTATAGTAGGGCAATAAACAAAATCACCATTAAATATCGATTTTCAATTCCTAGACTGGATGACATGTTGGATATGCTAAGTGGCGCCAAAATTTTTTCTAAAATTGATTTGAGAAGTGGGTATCATCAAATAAGAATAAGGCCTGGGGATGAATGGAAAATTGCTTTTAAAACTAAAGAAGGTTTTTATGAATGACTTGTGATGCCTTTTGTACTTTCAAATGCCAGAGTACTTTTATGAGAACTATGAATCATGTTTTGAAACTTTTTATTGGAAAGCTTGTTGTGGTTTATTTCGACATTTTGATTTATAGCATTCATCCTTCTGAACACTTAAATCTTGTGAAGCAAGTGTTGCAAATTCTAAGAGAACAAAAGCTTTTCATCAATCTTAAAAAGTGTTCCTTCATGACTTCGAGCTTGACATTTTTGGGTTTTATTATTTCTGCTGAGGGAATAAAAGTGGATCCAATAAAAATAGAAGCAATTTAAAATTGGCCCATTATTAAAAACATAAGTGAGGTGAGAGGATTTCATGGCTTGGCTTATTTCTATAGAAGATTTATAAATAACTTCAGTTTTCTGATTGCTCTTATTACTGATTGCTTGAAAAAAGGGTATTTAGGTGGACACCTCAAGCTGAAAAAACTTTTGAAATCGTTAAGGCAAAAATGAGTCAAGCTCCCATTCTTAGCTTTCCAAATTTTGAAAACATTTTTGAAGTTGATTGCGATGCTTCTCATGTTGGTATTGGTGCTGTGCTTAGTCAAGAGGGAAAACCTGTTGCTTACTTTAGTGAAAACTGAATGAAATTAGATCCAAATATTCTACTTATGATTTGGAGTTTTATGCTATTGCTCAAGCTTTGAAATTCTAGAGATGTTATTTGATTCAAAGGGAGTTTGTTTTAAATACTGATCATGAAGCACTTCATTTTTTGGGCTCTGAAAAAAATTTGAATAAAAGGCATGCCAAGTGGGTTTCATTTTTGCAAGAGTATACTTTTCATATTAAACATAAAACTGGTGTTTTAAACAAAGTTGCTGATGCTTTAAGCAGGAGATCTCATTTGTTGGTAACTGTTTATCCAACTATCACTTCTTTTGATTTTTTGAAAGATACTTATGCAAGTGATTCTAATTTTAAAGGTATTTGGGATTCTTGTATTGCTTCTGGAACTGATCCTTCCGCTCAGTTTGTTATACATCAATATTTTTTGTTTAAGGGGTTTAGACTTTGCATAACTAAAAACTCTTTAAGAGAACAACTTGTGAAAGAACTTCATAGTGGGGGTTTGGGTGGACATTTTGGGCAAGGAAAAACTATTGCATTGGTTGAAGAAAAATATTTTTGGCCTCAAATGAGAAAGCAAATTGCTAAGCTGGTTAAACAATATAAAATATGTCAGGCTTTCAAGGGAACTTCACAAAATTCTAGTTTGTATACTCCTCTACCTATTCCAAACAAACCTTGGGAGGATATTTCTATGGATTTCGTTTTGGGTTTGCCTGTTACTATTCAAAAATTTGACTCTGTTTTTGTGGTGGTGGATCGCTTTAGCAAAATGGCACATTTTATTCGTTGCAA